ATCATCAAATTAATCTTTTATCCTAACAAGTAGATTTAATTATTTTCACTTGTTGATATTGAAAATGGCAAGATAAATCTAATTAAGTATTATAACGGTTGTGTTTGGTTAAATTGAGAATTAAGAAGGGCTTTCATATACTATAAGAATAAAATATGAAGGAAAGAATTTCAAATTTCTTTCTTAAATATGAGTTTTTTTTTAAAAAATTTTTTTCATCCATGAGATTATATAGTTTGACGAGAGAAAATTTGAGGATTTTAAAAAGAAGGCATTTTAAGAAAAACATATAGTCTGGTATGTGTAGAATTACTTAAAAATACTTACATTTAGACCCATGGAAGGTCCTTTTAATTAGAAAACATGTACTATAAATTAAGTTTGATTTAGATCTTGAAAGAATTGAAGAAGTAAAGATTAATTAGAAAGTAAATTATATATATATATACCTTAATTAGCTAGATTGTAGCTGCTTTTTCTTTCTCAATGCATGATCGAAGCTCAAAGTTAAAAAATTGTTGGGTTTTGCATAAAGATTAATTAATTAGGTTTAATTTGATAAAATATCCAAAAATCTGAGCCAAGCAAATGAAATATTGATTAAAAGAAACAATTAAAATAATAGTAGGAAAGAAACTGTAATTATTATTATATTAGTTAAAGATAACTTAATTACAAACAATTAGATGCTCTAATGAATTAAAAAAGTCAATAATTAAAATGTTTTTAAATAAAAATAAAGTAAGAATATACCTACATGTAAGTTTTATGCATTATATTTATATAAAATTTTAACAATTTATCTATCAACTTTTAATAGTTGAGAATTATCTACATACATTAAAAATAATTATTTTTTTCACTTAAAAATTTATAATAAATTTTAATAATTGAAAGTAAGAGATGAATTATCAATTTTTTTTTTTAAATATGACTCGTAAGATTTATATATAAATATATATTTCTCATAAAAATATAATTAAATAATACTAATTAAATCACCTAATATTATCTCTTATTTGTTTAAAACCACATACACACAAAGGAGCAACGATCTAAAGTCACATATACATATATACATCAAAAGATCGCAAAAAGCTAAAGAAAACATATAGTAAAATGAATTTTGAGCAAAAATAATTAATGTACCTTTATCTATAGCGGGGGATCAAGAAAAAAAGTACCTCTTGCCAACGCTCAAAGCTGAAGGCGGGTGGAGAAATTCGCTGGAAATTAACTACAGAGATGGAACAGTACGTAACACAAGAAGAGGATGTCAAATAACAATCTGAAAAAATATATATATATATATATATATATATATATGTGCGTGTGTTTATATATATCCATCAAAAGATCGAAAAAAGCCAAAAGAAAACATATGTAAAATGA